CTGGCGGGGACGCTGCCCCCCGCCCCCCCGTGGGGCCCTGCCATCGCTCGGACGCCCCGTCCCTGTGCATCTTGTCGGCTTCGTGCGCGTAACTCGTGTTTGCTCGAGGAACCAGGAGGCTCCTCCGGGCTCCCCGCCGAGGAAAATCAGGCACCCGTCCGAGCGATGCCTGGGGGGGCTGGCCCGCCGAACCGCAGGCCGCGTGCTCGCGTCGTGGGAGGAGGAGGAGGAGGAGGAGGAGGAGGAGGAGGAGGAGGAGGAGGAGGAGGAGGAGGAGGAGGGAGGGGGAGGAGGAGGAGGGGGAGGAGGGGAGGGGGAGGAGGGGAGGGAGGAGGGGAGGGGAGGAGGAGGAGGAGGGGGAGGAGGAGGAGGAGGAGGGAGGAGGAGGAGGAGGAGGAGGAGGAGGAGGAGGAGGGAGGAGGAGGAGGGAGGAGGAGGAGGAGGAGGAGGGGCGGGCGGTCTCCGCGGCCGTCGGCGGCCTCGTGGAGGCCCCCGCCGGGACCCTCGGGCCTCGGAGGGAGCACCGGCCCCCAACGGGGAGGGGTGTAGGCCCGGGGCTATATATGCTGTGGGCAAATCATGAAAGGGGCCCAGGGACCCACAAATAAAATGATTCCCCATATGTTCCTATATTTTCTGGGTTTTTGTCTTCCCCCCCACTTCCCATACTTTCCCATATTTTCCTGGGATCGTCGATGAATTGTGTCTGTGTGTGTTTTTCCATCCTGAATCATGACGTCCAGGGGCTCGCGCGTGGAGTGAAGTCGGGCATGTCCCTCTGCAGGAGGAAAAAAATCAGAACTCGTGGAAATTTCTCTGGGGAGGATGTTTCCATTATGTTTTGACACACGTCTGAGAAGAAGGACATTTGAAGGGTCGGAACTTCCGGGGACGCCGTACTGAAAAACAATCGGATGTCGCATGTCTGGGACTGCGTTTCCTGCCCGCAGGGGTCGCCGTGGAGGAAGACCCGACTTGACGGCGCGCCCAAGGGGGAAGGGGGAGGGAGGAAGGCTTCTTAGAAGGAGCCCGCTCCTTAGAGTTCGGTCGGGCCTGTCCCCTACAGGCCGATTCTGGGCGAACAATGAGAATAACAAAAAAAGAAGGTCTAACAATGTTCTAAAATACAAAAAAACCTGACTATTTTCGACAAGCTGTAATTTTGAATGTTCCTCCTGTAGAGGGTGCGGCCCGACTTAATCTTACAAGGAGCCCGCTCCTTAGAAGGCGCCGGCCCTACATCTCCAGACAAGGCCCGCGCCTCCCAAGAAGCAGGGGCGCTTCCAAGAAGCCTTCCCCTGCCCACCTACCCGCCTTTGCGCGTGGCCAACCCCTTGCCCGCAGGGGTCGCCGTGGAGGAAGTCCAGACCTCCGACGGCGTAATTTCTCAAGCCCTGGCGACTTCTCATACAGTGGAGGCCAGTCCACAAGAAACCTTCCACAAGCTACCCAACCCTGAGACCCCAGGACGTCCATTGATTTTCGGTGGCGCGGCAGCGTCACGCTCCCCACCGCAAAGCCATCGGAACCCGAGAAACCCAGGGCACGCTGGAGGAAAGCAGGCTGCTTCTTGGCATGGGCCTCCACTGCAGGGACCCGGACCCCGGATTGCCACATCTCCTGGGGCCTGCCGCGTGCACCCTGGGGCTTCCCGCGCGCCCTCTGGGCTGTGGAACGTCCTGTCGCGTGCGCGGCTCGGGCCCGACCAAGGTCCCAAAGACGAGCCCCAACGGGCCTAAAGAGGCTTCCCCGACGGCCCGAGGGCCCCGGGTCGCCGGACGATCGCTCCAAGACGCCCAAGATGGCCTCGGGATGGCCCCAGGAGGCCTCCAAGACGCCCCGAGAGGCCTCCAAGACGCCCAAGATGGCCTCGGGATGGCCCCAGGAGGCCTCCAAGACGCCCCGAGAGGCCTCCAAGACGCCCAAGATGGCCTCGGGATGGCCCCAGGAGGCCTCCAAGACGCCCCGAGAGGCCTCCAAGACGCCCAAGATGGCCTCGGGATGGCCCCAGGAGGCCTCCAAGACGCCCCGAGAGGACTGCAAGACGCCCCGAGAGGCTTCCCACGGGCGTGGGCGTCCCGATGCTCCCTATGTAGGGCGGGCCCCTGGCACAAAACACAGCTCCGGAACGCAGAGCCGCCCCCCGGGGGAGGGGCGGGGTGGAGGAGGGAGGAGGAAGAGGAGGAGGAGGAAGAGGAGGAGGATGAGGAGGAGGAGGAAGAGGAGGAGGGGGAGGAGATGGAGGAGGAGGAAGAGGAGGAGGAAGAGGAGGAGGAGGATGAAATCAAGAAGATGGGGGACCGCAGCGGTGCCACGCACCGGAAATATAGTGCCGTCGGGTCGGGATTGGGGCGCAGTTCCAGTCTGATGTTGTTCCCATCGTACGTAAGGAGCAAATCCCAGAAATAATTTCGAGCTCCTGGAAAAGAATCGAAACAGTGTGGCCCGAAGCACAAGGATGCGCGATAAGGATGCAAGGGCTCTGAATGCCCATCTCGATGTTTTTTCGAGCGGAGAGCGGCCAACGGAAGTGGCGAAGGACGGACCGAGGATGCAAGGAAGTAAGGGTAACCTTGGGAAGGTCGCCCATCCTTATGACGCAGATTGGCTGTAGGCCCGATGGGCCCTGGGAGGGGTCTGGAGATCCAGCTGGGCGGTTTCCGTCTTGGCCGTCGTCACCGTCGCCGGTCCGTCGCCGCGGCGGAAGGGGATCTCCTGAAGGATGCGGCTCCTGGACTCCCAGGCTCTCCCAAGACCAGCCCTTCATCCCGATTCGCTTGTGGGCGGTCCCGGGGCTCGTGCAGGGCCCGAGAGGCCCGAATACAGGGAACAACCAATGGACAAACAATCATCAAGAACAAGAACAACAACAACAACAACAGCAACAACAACAACAACAACAACAACAACAGCAGCAGCAACAACAACAACAACAACAATCATTTAAGACTGGGGACACTCCGTTCTCACCAGTGCAAGGGTTTTCATAGGAGGCGGGCAATACCCCCACTTTGTGGGGGGGCCGGTTCAAGCTCTACCAAATTTCCATACGACTCTTCGCCACCACCCACACCCAGCTTCCCGCCCTATGACGTTCGGACACTTCACTTCGTGGCATGCGGACGACCGTGGCTACTATTCAGGGCCCCGCGGCCGACGACGACGGCGTGCGCGCGCGAAGAAAAAACGAATGTGTCCCGCATGGTATTATTTGACAGGGATGATGGCCCTGGCAGGTGCGCAACCGTTGTTGCAGAAGTTCGAAAAAGTTGCTCGCAAAAGCCCGTTTGACAGAAATGTTTAAAAAGTGTTGGGTTTCCTACGAATCCGCAAGAGCGCGCGGGATGAGATTTTGACAATTTTTTGTTGAAAAACCATTGGTTTTTTGATGTTTTTATGTTAAAATCGCTCGAACACTAAGGTTTTGGAAGGATTTCGTCTTGCGCGCGCGAATGTCCACTTTACCTTATTTTTGCAAGGGATTCTTGAAATTTGATTATATTAGAACAAGAAATGTCATTTTCTATTGTTTTTTGCAAGGGAAAGCGGATTACAACAAAACAACCGGATCCTGTACACACCCTCTTTTCTGAGGCTTCCTCACGAAAATGATGAAAATGTAGCTGCGGCCTAGGCGGCGCAGGGGGGGCGTGCACCAGGGGGCCCAACAATAATTATTCTTTAGAATAAATGATGTTCAACAACAACAACAACAACAACAACAACAACAACAACAACAACAACAACAACAACAACAACAACGGAAAGAAAAGACAGATAACAATTTGTTATCTGGCTCTTTTTTCCTTGAATTTAAGACACGTGCCCTTTCGTGTTGAGGGTTGGCAGCGCGCACAAGGGGAGCGGGAGCGGAGCGAGGAAGGTGTCGTTCTGAGAGGGCGGGGCAGCTCCCATGAGAGCAGGGGTCTTCCCAGAAGCCCTACCTGAGGAGGCTTTTCAGAAGCCCTGCCAGCCTGCACGAAGGCTTAACCCTGCAAGCCTGTACGAAGGCTTCTTCGAATCCTCGGGGCACTCACACTGGGAAGGTGCCTGCCGTAGTCGGCGGCCCCCCACCACACCGCCATCTGAGAAGGCGGCACTCCACGCGCTACCAACTTGCGCGCGCCGCGAGCCGAGGGAGCATTAGCTGCATACACATACACACACATATATATATATATATATATATATATATATATCACTATACGACCACCCTTCGGGTGATAAAGAGGTTGTGGGGGGGGAGGGGGAGGAACCAACATCTGACTCAATCGATCTCACTATCGATCTCACTCCAACGGGACACCACGGGTCAACACGGGACACTTGCCGATCCCACTATCGACACTATCGATCTCACTATCAATCTCACTCAACGGGACACCACGGGACACCACGGGCCACCACGGGACACCACGGGACACCACGGGACACCGCGGGACACCTCTCGATCTCACTATCGGTACCACTATCGATCTCACTCAGTGGGACACCATAGGACACCACGAGACACCTCGGGACACCACATCGATCTCACTATCGATCTCACGATCGATCTCACTCAACGGGACACCACGGAACACAACGGGACACCTGTCGATCTCACTACCGATCTCACTATCGATCTCACTCAGCGGGACACCACGGGACACCTCGGGGCACCAAATCGATCTCAATATCGATATCACTATCGATCTCACTCAACGGGACACCGCGGGACACCACGGGACACCTGCAGTCGATCTCACTATCGATCTCACTCAACGAACACCACGGGACACAACGGGACACCTCGGGGCACCACATCGATCTCAATATCGATCTTACTATCGATCTCACGATCGATCTCACTCAACCGGACACCACGGGACACCACGGGACACCACGGGACACCGGCGGGACACCGCGCGGCACCGGCCGCCGCAGGAGAAACATTTGGTCCGGCCGCGGCCCAACCACAGCAGGATTTCGAGACACCAGCGGGACACCGCGCGGCACCG